TGTCATTTTAATCGACAAAATTTTATTAATGTATTACAATTATTGTGAACATATAAAATAAGAAAATTATAATTTTAAAATATTTTGGACAAGTCACAGCCATCGCAATATAAGGCTTTCAAATTTTCATTGGGAAGACAGGAACTCTTTTACACAAGCCGTAAAGTTTCTGTGATACTAATTGATGATTTATATACATATTTGATGCATATTTATATACATATGTAAGTATAACATAAATGACAGTATTGATACAATAAATATCGGTACGATTAATAGCCGCACGTGGTAAGTGCAGGCTTGTTTGTTACCGCATAGACTCGGATTCAAACCCGAGTAAGGAACGGCGTTTTTAAAAAAAGCTATCTTCCCTCTCCCTTCCATGTTCAGTCACGATACGTGCCTGTATCGCCTGCACCATCCGGACAATATGTGTAAAAGGAAAATGCAATAATTGACCAATTGAATGTCGAACTTCTCTTGTTATCTGTAATATGCTGATATGCTAACGTGTGTGTATACATATATTTACATCTAAAATTAGCAACTTTATATGTATGCACATATATATAAAGTGATTATTATAGTGATTAATTAATGATTGTATTTTTGTTTTACACATGTCCATATTAATAACAAGTTATGAACTTTATATAAAGATGAAAGTATGCATACATACCTTATTAATAATTTATTATTTACAAAATTGGTATTAAAGTTTCGCGCAGGTATACTTTTGCAATTTCTTTTATCTTAGAAAGAAAATGTAGAAAAGTTAATTATCAAATTAAATACCGACCTAATTTTGTTAGTAATAATATGCGGATCTTTCCTTATCTACTACACTCAGTCAAAAAAAAAGCGGTGCACTAAAAATATGGGAGAAATTTACCAAATTTCAAATGACCATAACTTGGTAAATAGTGAAGATAAAAATAAATGCAAACATGGAAAATGAAGCTCCGAATGTCCACTTTAAGAATATTTGAATGGCAATTATGCTCGGCCATTTTTTTCAAAATGGCGAGAGATAAAATGAGAGGATGCAAAATTGATAATCGAAGGTCCAAATTTGCGACGGTGCATGGCATGCTTGGCCATTTTTTTTCAAAATGGCGAGAGATAAAGTGAGAGGATGCAAAATTGATAATCGAAGGTCCAAGTTTGCGACGGTGCATGGCGTGAATCGGTATCGCAGCCCAATAGGACAAAATGCACATGAAAGTATAGAGTGTTAGCTTTAAAATGCTTTTCCACAGAGCTTGATGCGATCATTTCTCGCTGAGTTATGCCAATTTAAAGAAAAAAACAATCTTTTTTTAAATTTACATAACTCAGCGAAAAATGCTTGCATCAAGCTCGGTGAAAAAGCATTTTAAAGCTAACACTCTATACTTTCATATACACTTTGTCGCATTAGGCTGCAATACCTACTGTACGCCATGCGCCGTCGCAAACTCGAATCTTTATTTATCAACTTTGCATGCTCTTCTTTTGTCATCCGCCATTTTGAAAAAATCGTCGCGCACAGAGCTGACGAACCACGGGGTCCTTATCCTTGTAGTATATGTACAAATACACATGCATGCGCGCGCGCACACACGCGCACACATACACACACAATGAGATGCCATTCCGATTAGTAAAACTCCATGCCGTTCATATTCGAAATAATAACGATCATAATTTGACTGAATCGACCTTGTTGCAAATTCGGAATTGAATATCTCGGCACCTAAATACCCCAGCACGAAATTTCAAAAACGGTTTGAAAGTTTTTAAATCCTAATTTTCGAAATTTAAATCGAGATTGTGCGCGACGATTTTTTCAAAATGGCGGATGACAAAAGAAGAGCATGCAAAGTTGATAAATAAAGATTCGAGTTTGCGACGGCGCATGGCGTACAGTAGGTATTGCAGCCTAATGCGACAAAGTGTATATGAAAGTATAGAGTGTTAGCTTTAAAATGCTTTTTCACCGAGCATGATGCGAGCATTTTTCGCTGAGTTATGTAAATTTAAAGAAAACTGTTTTTTTTTCTTTAAATTGGCATAACTTAGCGAGAAATGATCGCATCAAGCTCGGTGAAAAAGCATTTTAAAACTAACACTCTATACTTTCATGTGCATTTTGTCCTATTGGGCTGCGATACCTGATTCACGCCATGCACCGTCGCACACTTGGACCTTTGATTATCAATTTTGCATCCTCTCACTTTATCTCCCGCCATTTGGAAAAAAATGGCCGAGCATAATTGCCATTCAAATATTCTTAAAGTGGACATTCGGAGCTTCATTTTCCATGTTTGCATTTATTTTTATCTTCATTATTTACCAAGTTATGACAATTTGAAATTTGGTAAATTTTTCCCAAATTTTAAGTGTACCGCTTTTTTTGGACTGAGTGTATATATAAACATTTTATAAAATAAAAACTGAAACTTTCATATTGTATTTTGTTAGTATAAAAATAATTATAATGGATTAATGAGATTCTTACGATTAAAATGACACCAAATATGACATAAAACGGATAATTTTAAATGAAATAAGTAATCATAATTTTAATAACATAATTGATTAAAAATTATCCGATTTATGTTATGTTTAGCATTATTTTAATCGCAAGAATCTCATTAATCTATTAGAATTATTTTGCTATCGATAAAATACGAAAAACAGAAATTTTACAAACGATATGTAACCCGAGATATTATAGATAAAGAGAGCATCGCGAGCGAGACTTCGGAACTCTTTGATGTTTGT